ATATATAATAATTTGAAGATGGCAGATTTTTTGGGAAATGAAAGAACTTTATCAGTACATTTTCGAACCTGGTTCTTCAGCTCATCGTCAGACTTCTGGGTTATGTACAAAAACAAATAACTATTTTAACCGTATGATACATGTGATTCCGTGGTTGGCCAATGTCTGCGCCAATGATGTTTCACCATCCCCTCGACATTGGCTGCGCTCGCTTCCATTTGTCCCTAAGAAATTTTTACGTGGCTTCTAGATCCATATGCCAATTGATACATGCCTCATCTGAGTACATTGCTTCCAGGAAGTCACGGCCACTCCTTATAGGGCAGACGCCAACAATGCGAGTTTTCTCCCATGCAAATTGGTGTCCGGTGTCCAGTGTGTGTGCATAGCCACCTGGGATAGATGATCTCGTTTGTACACCCCTAACTGATGCTCATGTGTACGGGTTGAAACATGTTTCCCGGTTTGGCCACAATAGATGCATTTGTCATTGTCAAGGATATCCTACTCTACCTGCTCCACATTTCCAGGAATATAATTCACTTTCGAAATAGAAGTTGATGGACAACTCACATTTATGGATGTCCTTGCATGTCGAAAAACTGATTGATCCCTTTAAACTTCAGTTTATCGCAAAGAAACACATTCTGAGGTCATCCTACATCTTGACAGTAACTATCCTATGTCCCGCAAGAGGAGTACTGTCTACAGCCTGCTAAACCGAGGCAAAACACATTGCTCTGATGAAGAAAGTTACCAAGCAGAGATGAAGTACCTCTTTAAGTTATTTTCCCACAACGGGTACTCGCGCAACTCTATGTGCCATTGCATGAAATATGAGTCTAAACACAAAGGTATTTCGAACAATAGGGCCACCCAGGCACCAAAAACATTCACCTGGTGGACTCTCCCATACGTTAAAAATGTATCTGAGCTCATCGAAAGACAGCTGAAAAAACATCAGTTACAAGTAGCACACCAAGCTGCAACCACCTCGCGCACACAGCTAGTACACTCTAAGGACATGGTTGGCTATCTCAATAGAAAGGTTGTTGTCTACAAGATCTCATGTACCAGTTGTAATGCCGTCTATTGTCGCTAGACCGGGAAATCTTTCCCACCCGTTACACATAAGCATCAGTTAGGGGTGTACAGACGAGATCATCTATCCCAGGTGGCTATGCACACACACTGGACACCGGACACCAATTTGCATGGGAGAAAACTCGCATTGTTGGCGTCTGCCCTATAAGGAGTGGCCGTGACTTCCTGGAAGCAATGTACTCAGATGAGGCATGTATCAATTGGCATATGGATCTAGATTCTACGTAAAAATTTCCTAGGGACAAATGGAAGCGAGCGCAACCAATGTCGAGGGGATGACGAAATATCATTGGCGCAGACTTTGGCCAACCACGGAATCACTTGTATCATACGGTTTAAATAGTTATTTGCTTTTGTACATAACGCAGAAGTCTGCCGACGAGCTGGGTAGCCAGTTTCGAAAATGCACTAATAAAGTTCTTACTTTTCCCACATAACCTGCCATCTTCAAATTAGATTTCTTGGGATGCCTGCCTTCCAATACGTAAAATGATTTATCTGGCATAATTGTGGAAAGCTCTATGATCTCGGTGGTGTTCGAGCCTTCACAACAACGACATTCCTGAGTACAGCCAACGCTCTAACCACCAGAACTACGAAGCCCCGATCGAGGGTCGTGTGTCCACTCATATTCGGGTCCAGCTGCCCGCCCAGTATACTGCGCCGTATATATCAAATAACAGTAATCCTAAATGTTCGTTTTCTTCATCGGGACGCGAAAATCATTCCAATAACAACCGTTGGTACTGGCAAAGACTGTTATCCCTTCATGGACCTTTAATAGGCTTCTAGTATTCTAAAAATTGTATTGGGTACATTTAACAGCGCCGGTCATCGGGCAGAATGTAGAACCTATGAGCGTATTCTCTGCATTGTTTTAGTCAACCGCCATTCCGTTGATCACTGTCTAACAGACCCTTCCGCGCATGAGTGACCGTCTCCCATTGCACGTCTATTTACATATTTCAAGATACGTGACTATGACTCCGCAGCAGGAATTACACGATTGGAGAAGTTAATGTGCGCAATTCCATTTGCATTTTGTCCTTTTATCTAACAGCGTTGAGCTCAGCAGACCGTGTGTTGAGCGGCTTATAGCCGACGTAAGCAATTAGTTTTGGTGACAAGAACTTCACTGAACACATCCAATCCATTGGGAAGTGCAAACCATCAGACAAGTCTGGAACACGTCATCCACTCTTAAGTGGCCTAAGCAAAAAAAGCGGAGCGATGATGCTGTTGATCGGATCACAACTTGAAACGAGCGGAAATATCCCTCAGTATTGTGGGTATCCAACATGGACGTTACTCGGTCATAGCAGCCTGCAAGAGATGACTTAGTACCTCAAAGTATTATAACGCACGGAGAGGTTCACCTCGTTTCAACTAACCAAATACTTAGAAAACGAGGAATGGCCCGCTGGAACAGATTTACTGAGCCACTGACGTTTGGGAGAGTTTGGTTGGCTCACCATTATCAAAACGTCAAAAGCATCAGGTAGAACGGAAATGCAAGTTTCGTGAATAGCTACTTGGCTTTTGGCTGATTGATTTTCTTCTGCTGTATCGGGTTTTTGTCGGACGTTTGGCAAGCTTGAGAGCTGTGTCCGTTACGAGTCATCACCTCGAAAATGGGATAATTGAGCCTCTGTGGGGAGTGTTCGCTCTGGTGGCTTTTTCCCGTCGGGTGAGTTCGTCGTCCAGCCGTGTCTGCCCGGATTTTTCAGTTCTGTATGGCCGCCTTGTCCTGGTCTTTGAGTATGAAGTGGCGCAGGACTTCATAAGCTGCAGGAATGTCAAGGTATATGTTGATGGAGCTAGTACCTAAATATCAGGGTTCAAGTGTTGTTTATTCTATCAGAGATTTGTTCCAACCCAGGCGGGTCGCTCCCTGAAGGCCGGGATTATGGCCAATTTCTTTAGCGTGTTGCAAGCTGAGAGAGTGGATCTAATTCCCGAGTTTCCAATTCGTGCTCGTGTAGGTGAGTCCGCAGTTTCTGTCCGGTATTCCAAACTTATTATTGAAACTTATTTTGCAGGCAAGCGAGTATGACGCGGGAATATGATCCCCCCCTTACCAGTTTTACAGCTGGTCCGCGCTAAATTCCAGGAAGTTCCTTTTGCTGTGTCCTAAATTTCACCCCAACACTGATCCTAGCCCTAACTCTGGCACCCCTTGGAATTTTGAGCAAGGCCACATGTAATATTGGGTGGTCCATATTCCCGTGCCTAATTGAAAACTGCCGAGAGTTTGGAGTGGTACGCGTACTCAGGTTACATTGAACGGCGCGAGTTGTTTCCTGGGGTCGATGTTCGATGCTTACTTTGACGAGTGTAACGATCAAGCAATCGCCCGGAGACTTCTTTGATGTGGGGAATGGCCCTCTAAAATTTCCGGTCGCCACCCCTTTGGCCATCGTTTGTTCGCTTGGCGCCCGTTTTGCTCGGAAAAATGGCTTGGGTATCCATTTGGCTCTAAGAAGATGTCAAAGGTAAAGTTGCTCCGTTTATTGTCCGCAAATATTCGCCCGCTCAAAGTCAAGGAACGCAGTAAAACCCAAAGGTCATATCTGGGACAATTTGATGATGTTTGTACAGGTGATGTGGCCTTCAACAAAAACTTCCAGAACTCGATGGGTGTCCACATTGTATATACCGGTTGCCTAACTTTGACGCTGTTCGGCTGGTCGGACGGAATTTCGCATCGGTATCGTCGTGACGAGGCCCTGTTAGGTAAGCCACAGGAGGCCACAAGCTACGGCAATATTGTAAGCTCGCGAGGATAACTCGGATCGTTCTTCAAATACGCCAAAGCCGAGGACCTTATTGGAGTTCGGCAGCAGCCGACACAACTGAGCCGCCCTAATTAGGGAGAGCACTGCTTTCCCCCGCAAGGGGCAAGGGGCTACAGAAGGTGCTTTAAACAAATGCTAGGGATCTACGCCGTCTGAAGCTTGACCGTGGTCGCAGACGCAAAACACACGGTCGAAACAACGAACAAAGAAACAACAAAAGTACACGCACCCTCTCTCTTCCTCTTCTGTCTTCTTCTTCTTCTTCTTCTTCTTCTTCTTATTCTTCTCCTCCTCCTTCCCGCCACCCCACTCGCAAGACTGATAGTGTGAGCCCGATATCTCTGGCGGCCTGGAATGTTCGTTCCCTTTTATACAACCCGAGGAGCAACCGACCGGAACGAAGGGCGGCTCTAGTCGTTCGGGAACTAGCGCGCTACAGGGTGGACATCACTGCAATTAGCTAGACCCGTTTCTCCGAATAGGGTCAACTGGAGGATGTGGATGCCGGCTACACCTTCTTCTGGAGCTGTCGCCCAGGGCACAGCGACGGAACGCGGGTGTCGCCTTTGCCATCCGGAACGACATCGTGGGACGACTGCTCTGTCAGCCGTAGGGCATCAACCATCGTCTGATGAGCCTCCGCCTGCCTCTCGGGCGAGGCAAATTTGCCACCATCCTCATCGTCTACGCACCGCCGATGACTAGTCCCAACACCGAACGGGACAAATTCTACCATTGCATGCACGCCCTCCTGACGACTATGTCGAAGCCGGGTAAGTTGATTGTCCTTGGTGACTTCAACGTCCGCGTCGGCACAGACCATGCTGCCTGGAGAGGAGTGCTGGGTCGCTATGGTCTCAACGGCTTCAATGGCAATGGCCTGCTTTTTCTACGGACCTGCGCAGAACACTGACGCATCCTGACGAACACCTTCTTCCGCCTTCCAATGCGAGAGGAGCCCGCCTGGATGCCTCCTCGGTTGCGTCAATGGCACCTGCCGGACCACGTCCCCATCCGGAGGCGAGACCAGCGGGACGTACTGGTGACAAAGGCGATTCCGGGTGCTGACGGGTGGACGACCATCGCCTCGTCATCTCGAAGATGCGGACTCGCCTACAGCCGAGCAGGAGACCTCAACGTAAGCGTCCACCCCACCCAGGTAAGTTGAATATTACCTTGTTGTCTTTACATGCCCACCATCTCCATTTCAGTAACGAGCTAGCTCAACGGTTAGACAACCCTCCAGTCGCTGCCGCCGCCGACGCCGACGACGAGAACCGGTGGTGTCAACTGAGGAACACGGTCCAGTACACCGCCCTGGCTGTCCTCGGTCGCGCGCGTCGCCAACACCAGGACTGGTTCGACGACAATTACGCCGCCATCAGCAACCTAATCGCCGAGAAGAACCGTCTGAACAAAGCCTACGTTCACCGCTTCACCGAAGACAACGAAGCAGTCTTCTACTGTAGTCTTCACCTAGTAAAACAGCGACTACGCGAGATACAGGACACCTGGACGGCTTGCAAGGCCGAGGAGATCCATGGGTACATGGACCGCAACAAATGGAAGAACATATTCTCCGCGATCAAAGCTGTTTACGGTCTGCAAACCAAAGGTACTGCCCTCTTCTCAGCGCCGACGGCAGTATCCTATTCACTGAGAACACACGAATACTACAGCGAATGGACCGAGCACTTCCGGGGCATCCTCAACTGTCCATCAACCATCTCCGACGCCACCATCGCCCGTCTTCTTCAAATGTGGACCAACGCCGACCTCGACCTCCTGCCCTTTCTCCTCGAAAGCATCAGGGTCGTGCAGCAGCTCTTCAGCGCGAAAGCGCCTCGATCGGACGCGATCCCTGCTGAGATCTACAAGCACGGTGGCCCCCAACTCATGGATAATCTGACTGTGCTCTTCCAGGAGATGTGGCGTCAAGGAGAAGTAACGCAGGATTTCAAAGGCGTCACAATCGTCTACCTCTACAGGCGGAAAGGGGACCGCCAAATCTGCGACAACAACCGAAACAAACCCCTTGCTGAACATCGCCGGGAAGATCTTTACTCGCATTCTTCTCAATCGTCTGAACAACCATTTGGAGTAGGATCCTCTGACGGAAAGCCAGTGCAGCTTCCGCCGTCATCGTGGAACCACGGACATAATCTTCGCCGCCCGCCAACTTCAGGAAAAGTACCAGGAGATGCGGACTCACCTGTACGCTACGTTTATGAATCAGACGATAGCCTTCAACATGATGAATCGCAAAGGACTGTGAAAAATCATGCAGAAATTCGGCTGTCCAGGGAGATTCACTCAGATGGTGCATGAAGGCATGATGCGCGCGTCACGGACAACGGAGCTGTCTCTGAGGCATTCGCAATGACCGACGGACTGAAGCAGGGTTTCGTCCTCGCACCCATTCTCTTCAATCTTATGTTCTCTGCCATGCTGATGGACGCATATCGTGACGAACGCCCTGAGATCCGTATTGTCTACAGGATGGACGGCCACCTCTTCAACAACAGACGGCTGCACTTCCAGTCGCGTGTATCCACAGCCACCGTCCACGAACTTCTCTTCGTCGAGTACCGCGCCCTGAACACCACCTCGAAAGAGCACATGCAAAATGGCATGAACCTCTTCGTCGCCGTCTGCGACAATTTCGGTCCGATCATTAACACGAAGAAGACGATGGTCATGCACCAACCGCCACCCAACACTGTCCACAACGAGCCGCAAGTCAGCGTGAACGGTAACCAACTGCAAGTCGTGAACAACTCCACGTGGCTAGGCAGTACCCGCTCCCGCTGCACCAAAATCTACGACGAAGTAGCCCGCCGTATTTCCAAGGCCAGTCACGCCCTCGGTCGTCTTCAAAACACAGTTTGAAATCGTCCCGGTCTTGAACTCAGCACGAAACTGAAGATGTTTAAGGTCGTCATCATCCCGACGTTGCTGTATGGAGCAGAGACTTGGACGGTAAACATGAAGCAGGCGTGCTGGCTCAATCGCTTCCACCTTAGCTGTCTTCGATGGATACTGAAGCTGAGGTGGCAGGACCGAATCCCTGACACTGACTTACTGGAGTGGACGATAATCCTCAGCATCTGCGCCATGCTGGGACAACTGCAAATGCGTTGGCGCGGCCATCTCGTGCGGTTAGACAACGATCGGTTACCTAAACAACTCTTCTACGGAGATGTAGTCAGGTGTCCCCGCCGACAAGGAGGCCAAGTCCACCGCTACAAGGACAGTCTGAAGACTTCCGTAAAGCATCTGCAGGTCAACCCCGCCAACTGTGAAGACTTTGCCCGAGACCGTCCGATCTCGAGGAGGACAATGAAAACAGGCACAGCGATCTATGATGCCAATCGCATAACCGCCTCCAAAGACAAACGAGAGACCCGCAAATCCCAATTGCGCCCGCCTCTAAACGCAAACGCCCAACTGCCCCCAACGTGTCCACCTTGTCAGCAGACAGTCCGGGCGCCAGTTGGACTTGTTGCACATGTTCGGATCAACTGCACCACTTGGGCCGCACCAAACGTCGGTTCTCCGTCCACCTTCCCCTCGCCTTCTATGCCGTTAACGAACTCCGACCGCCCTTCCGAACCATTACTTGCACCCTCCTCCTCCTCCTTCTCCTCCCCCTCCTCCTCGTTCCCCCTCCCCTCGTTCTCGTCCACCTTCCCCTTCTTCTCCAATGCCTTAACTTCTGCCGTTTTGGCGTCTATTCTACACTTTAACACTGCTCACAATCCTGACACACCATCAAACGCCAACTTCACCATCGATGACACCAGTGGTGCGAACCTTGATTATACCTGCCCTAATTGCGGCCGCACCTTCACCTCAAACCTCGGCCTGGTCGGTCACCTGCAAATCCATCGCACAGAGATTGGCGAACCAATGCCTGGATCACCAACCTACACCCGCTGCACCCGCTTCCAGTGTCCACACTGCCCTCGCACATTCATAAATCGAATAGGCCTATTCGGCCACATGCGTATCCACGAGAGCTGAACTGACCGCAGTTCCGACACTTCCAGCACACCCACCATGCCTAGTCCCTCCTTCACTCCGTCGCCCTGTGCACCCACCG